CTACTGGGGATGTGCCCACAACCAAGGTACATGCCCCTGACTGGAATCGAACCTGGGACCCTTTAGTCTGCAGGCCGACGCTCTCTCCACTGAGCCAAATCAGTTACGGCTTATTTTATTTTTCCATTGCAGTTTACATTCCATATTATTTTTATTAGCTTCATGTGTACAGCGTGGTGGTGGGACCGCCATATACTTTACAGAGTGCTCCCCCTGCTAGCTCCAGTACCCACCTGGCCCCATGCATAGTTATTACGGTATTATTGACTATATTCCCTGTGCTGTCCCTCACATCCCAGTGACTATTGTGTAGCTGCCAGTCTGTACGTCTGAATCCCCCCACCCTTTTCACTCAGCCCTCCCCCGCTCCTCCCTCTGGCAACCGTCAGTCTGTTCTCTGCATCTACGAGTCTGTTTCAATTTTGTTTCTTTGTTTATTTTGTTCTTTAGATTCCACATAGAAGTGAAATCAGACGGTGTTTGTCTTCCTCTGACTGACTGACTTCACTTAGCGTGAGGCCCTAGGCCCACCCATGCTGCCCCAAATGCTAAGACTTCATTCTCGTTTAGCGTAAGATGTGATCCCATGTAAGACACACTACCATTTTACGTACTACTAAGAAAAACATGGTCATTCGAACAACTGGCCTCACTTACAAAACGCATCCTGGTTTTTGATGTTAGAAGGTTAAAAATAAAGCAGGTCTGTGAGTTGATGAAACGTGAAAATTGCCTCTCAGAGTTGTTGTGAGTTTAGCAGCAGTTCAAGAAACATTTGCTGAGTTTAAGGTGGCAACCGTATGGGGGATGTCTGATCTGCCTCCAGGCTTGGCTCCGAGTGAGAGAGTGATGAGAGAGGCAAAGCTTCGCACAGCCACACAGACACGGAGAAGCTGGAACCCCACGTTGGGGACAACACCCAGCTCTGGGTTCCAGAACCAGCAAGTGCCGCCCTCTGAGGGCTGAGGAGGACGGGCGTGGGGTGAAGCCTGGAAGGATCCGGCAGGGCTGGTCACAGCCACGCGCACAGCGGGAAAGGAAATGCCAGGGGGGCAGGGGGTCCTCTCTCTGCAGACTCACAGCCTCAGCCCCACATCCCTCCACTACGCCCTCTGCCCCATCTCACCTGGGAGCAGGAGGCAGCCCCACAGCAGGACCAGGGGCCCCATGGTGGGCACAGGACACGCAGGAGCACACGCGGGTGAACTGGGAGCGCCTCTTGGGAGCACATGAGCTTTAACTTCCTCCAGATGAGTGGGATCCAAACGAGGAAGGGAGGGGAGGGGCCATGTGGGTCACCCCTGGGCACCCAGCCCAGGGATCTGCCTTCGCCATTCAATCTAATTACTTCCTTCCCCCCCTTAGCCCCTGCACACCTCCTCCCCCCTAAAATATCCCACGAGAGCACTTCTCCCAAACCCCTGCCCCTTCAGAGGAGTCTTAACCACGCCCACAGCCATACACCTAAGGGGGTCTGTGTGTAAAATTCAGGGAGTCCATGAATTGGGATGAGAAAAAAAATTACATATTGACCTTTTAGTAATATCTTTTCCTTCTGCGTGTTAGCAGGACCTGTGACTTTGCCACCAAGACAGATCACAGACACTAGCACAGCACATTGTCACCGATAACTCAAAATATCGTGGCTGCTCCTCATGGCATGGAAAATCTTTAGTAATTAGGTTTGCCACTAGAGCTGGCTCTTGAAAGCGCTCATAGAGCCGCACGTTTACTCCTATATTACACACATACACATTTTGATAACCACTTCAGTGTTATTGGTTTTCTGCTAAGCATGTGTATTTTATATTTTTAAAAGACCATTATTCTGCCCGACCGGGGTGGCTCAATGGTTGAGCATCGACCTAGGAACCAGGAGGTCACGGTTCAATTCCCAGTCAGGGCACATGCCCCGGTTGCAGGCTGGATCCCCAGTCTGGGGCGTGCAGGAGGCAGCCCTATCAATGATTCTCTCTCATCACTGGTGTTTCTATCTCTCTCTCCCTCTCCTTTCCTCTCTGGAAAAAAGAAAAGAAAAGACCATTATTCGGAGAGGGGGCCATAGCATAGGTCAATGGTAGAGGTTAGAGCCCCTGTGGCAGTGCCCACTGCCCCTCCTTCATCGGGCCAGAGGACGCAGTACGGCTCTTGGCCACCAGGCGGCGGTGCGGGCAGGGGTCAGAAGCTGCAGGGCTGGGCTGAGAGGGAGCCATCTGCAGGCCCTGCTGCAAGGCTGGTCTTCCCGCGCGCGCGTGCGCAGAGCCGTCTTGGCGTCCAAAAAAGTGAATTAGCGGTTTCCCACCGTAGATTTGAATCCTTCTGGAAAGGAACAAAATGCACACGGACACTAGAGGGAGCCCTGGCACATCGTTTTCCAAAATCGGCCTGTCGGTGTGTTTCTGGATTGCAAAGTTCATGCAGCTTGTAAGCAAAATTTTACACAACACAGAAATGCTATAAAAAACAACAGAACGATGGGAACGTTTCCTGTAATTCCCCTTCTCTGTCAGAAAACCGTTGTTTACATTTGGGCAGGTGTACGTCCATCCAGACAGCCTGAATTTTATCCGCTTGTTGGGCTAATATTTGAAGTAATCATTCAGTGATTCTGGGAGGGGTGTGTGTGTGTGTGTGTGTGTGTGTGTGTGAGAGAGAGATATTCTGGTGATGCGGGAGACAGGTTTTAATTTCTCTGTGATTGTGGGCACTGCTGGGCAGGACAGAGGTTTGCATCAACGAAAACCCTGTAAGGATGAGCTCAGCCTGGACCCCACTCCCATTACATGTATAGGCTGCAAAAGGTAACCGTTTCTGCAGTTTTAAAAACACAGATGAAAATAATATTTATTCTGCGGCAGTGGTTGGCAAACTGCAGCTCGCCAGCCACATGCAGCTCTTTGGCCCCTTGAGTGTGGCCACGAAGTTTCAATTGCACTGTACATGCGCGCCCGCACGTGGTATTTTGTGCAAGAGCCACACTCAAGGGGCCGCAGTTTGCTGACCACTGTAGGGTTTGATAGTATATCTGTTCTTTCACTGTTGTCTTGTCCTATACAGAATAGTTTCGGCCCTTCCTGCTTATCTCAAATCCTAACTATTTGTTATAGGCAGGGACGAGCACCTGACACAGTCACATTTTCCAGCGTCTCAGGGCCTGCGTGTTCACACTTTGAAATATGTTTTATTTGGTGACAAGTTGTTTTCCTTTTATTTGTTCCCTCTGTTACAGCTCAGGCATTGTATTGTGATTTTTTTTAAAGTAAGTGTGAGAAGACACATTATTTATGATTGCATTTCCGGAGAATAAAAGAAGTGTTACCAAAATGTTAATTTTCATGTAGAGGGGGTTGGGTCTAATGTGCATCATCCTTGCTCCCTTCATGTGATGGTGAGGTCCTTCCCTCCGCAGCCCCACACCTAACCAGGAGCCAGGTTTGCGGACTCCGTTAGAAACAGATCCTCCAGACCTGAAAGTATTGCAAGAGCCAGGGAGAAGGGCCTAGTGAAGGGTTAGTATGGGCCCTGCACCTGGTCCTACTCCATGAGGTGGATGGATAGAGGGAGAGCAATGGGGTGGGTAGTCAAAAAGTTTGCCCACCCCTGGACTAGAATGAGGGGTTAGTATGGGCCCTGCACCTGGTCCTACCCCGTGGGATGGATGGAGGGAGAGCAATGGGGTGGGCAAGATGTGTCTCCTGGTGGGTTTGGGGATCTGAGAGGAGAGAACACATGTGTCCTGCTTCTTACCCAGAATACTGGGAGGATATTAGTGGAGAAACTAGTCAAATACTAATAAAGTCTGGAGTTTAGTTACTAGTAATGTACCAAAGTGAATTTCTTGGTGTGACAAATGTATCATGGTTACATAAGATGTTAATGTTAGACGGAGCAGACAGAATGAGGGACATTCAGGGGGGTTCTGTAAGTATAAAATTATTTCACAATGTAAAGTTTATTTTACTTTATTTACTGGGAGGATATTAGTGGAGAAACTAGTCAAATATTAATAAAGTCTGGAGTTTAGTTACTAGTAATACACCAAAGTGAATTTCTTGGTTGTGACAAATGTATCACGGTTACATAAGATGTTAATGTTAGGCGGAGCAGACAGAATGAAGGACCTTCGGGGGGCGGGGGTCTGTAAGTATAAAATTATTCCACAATGTAAAGTTTATTTTATGTATTTATTTATTTTTAAACAATATATGTTTATTGATTTCAGAGAGGAAGGGAGAGGGAGAGAGAAAGAAGCATCAATGATGAGAGAATCATTGATCACCTGCCTCCTGCACGCCCCCTACTGGGGACCAAGCCCGCAACCCCGGCATTTGCCCTTGATCAGAATTGAACCTGGTACCCTTGAGTCCTCAGGCAGGCCGATGCTCTATCCACTGAGCCAAACTGACTAAGACGTAAAGTTGTTTGTTTGTTTTTTAAAAGCAGTGAACAGCCAACAAAAATATGAGTGATTACCTGGCTGAGGTCTGCAAATAGAAACCCAGAAGGATGAACTGAGCACGCAAGATGCTTTGGGCCTGGGGAGCACCTACTGGTTCAGGAGGAGCCACTAAGGGGATGTCGGAGTCTAGGGCTATCCTTACATACATTTAATCACCTTAGACCAGGACACCAAAGGGGTGCACTTTGGGAGAAGGGTGAACCGCAAGTAAACCAGGCCACCGTAGGCGCTCGCTCAGCTCGGTCATTAGGTGTCCCAGGAAACTTCAAGCTTTGAACTTGAATTAAAAAGATTGGTCCTGGTCTGGTAATACCCTCTCCCCCCCTACCTCCAGGTACCTTAAAGATACCAATGAAAATCCTTTCTGGAAGAAGATAGCATCAGCCTAAGCCTCAAATATTTGAAAACCTTTTTTCCCTCCAAATACAACCCAATCCTATGTAATAAAAGGCTAATATGCAAATCAACCAAATAGCAGAATGACCGGTCGCTATGATGTGCACTGATGGCCAGGGGGCAGACGTTCAATGCAGGAGCTGCCCCCTGGTGGTCAGTGCATTACCACAGGAGGAGCACCGCTCAGCCAGAAGCCGGGCTCATGGTTGGTGAGCGCAGCGGCGGTGGTGGGAGCCACCTCCATGGCAGTGCTAAGGATGTCCAGGGAGTGGGCCTAAGCCATCAGTCGGACATCCCCTGCAGGCTCCCGGACTGCAAGAGGGTGCAGCTGGGCTGAGGGACCCAACCGAGTGCACAAATTTCATGCACCGGGCCTCTAGTGTACAATGAAAGAGAACCAGATATAGTCTGAGGAGACAAGACTCTTTTTTTTTTTTTAATATTTTATTAATTTTTTACAGAGAGGAAGGGAGAGAGATAGAAAGTTAGATACATCGATGAGAGAGAAACATCGATCAGCTGCCTCCTGCACATCTCCTACTGGGGACGTGCCCGCAACCCAGGTACATGCCCTTGACCGGAATCGAACCCGGGACCTTTCAGTCCGCAAGCCGACGCTCCATCCACTGAGCCAAACCGGCTTCGGCGAGGAGACAAGACTCTTAAGCGAGAATGTACAAGAGAAGCAGACCTGTGGAGACGACAGAGATTGAAAGCAGCAGGAGTCGCCTTAACACAGCCATCCTCACTGTGTTCAAGGAGGTAAGAGTCAAGCTTGAAATTGTTGACAGGGAATTGGAAAGTATAAAAAAAATGAGCCAGCAGTTTTGAAAAAGAACAACATAAAATTCTAGGACTGAAAAATACAATCATTAGACTTAATAATTCAATAAATGAGCTTCAGGTGAGACACAGTTGAAATGATAATAGTGAACCAAAGAAATCATCCAGAATGAAGCAGAGAGAAATAACTGGAAGGAAAATAAAGAAGAGAGGGTAAGAGAAATGGGGAATAACATTAGAATGCCCAACATACATCTTATTGGAGACGAAAATGAAAGAAGATAAAGGATGCGGCACGAGCAGTAATCAAAGAAATAATTGCGAGAATGTTCCAAACGTGAAGAAACGCACCATGGGCCCTGGCCGGGTTGCGAGGTTGATTAGAGTGTTGTCGGATATGCCAAGGTTGAGGGTTTGATCTCTGGTCAGGGCATATACAAGAAGCACCCAATGAATGCATAAGTAAGTGGAACAACAAATCGATGTTTCTCTCTCTCTCTCTCTCTCATCAATTTTTTAAAAAAGAAGCACACCATGTGTTTTTTAATATGCACATGATTATAATATTTGGGGTGCTAAAGCCTGTGCCCAGGGCATGGGTCCCTCTTGCCTGGGTACAGTGTGGACACTTGATCTGTGACAAAGGTGGCACAGTAGAGTGGGGCGGGGAGAGGATGGGCTTTTCAGTAAGTATGTTGGAACGCATGGAAAAAATGCGCGATGTGACCCCTGCCTCCCATCACCCACAAAAATCAATTCGAAGTGGATTCCAGAACTAAATGAAAAAGGCAAAATGATAAAGCTTTTTGAAGATAATGTAGCATATGT